CGTCGCGGGTTATATGCGTGGGCGGGTTATATGCGTGGGCGGGTTATATGCGTGGGCGGGGTATACGGAAGATATTTTACACGATCCGGAAAACCCGCGGGTTATATGCGTGGGCGGGTTATTTGCGTGGGCGGGTTATATGGGTGGAAATACGGTATTTATGTAACATATAGAAGGTGCTGAGGATGTGGCTATCTCTAAAATGACTATATATTTATAAATAGCATATTGCTTATTGACATAAAGAAATGATAATGTCACACCGTGTTAGCATTTTTTGAAACAAGGGAAATTATTTATAACTTTTTTTTTAGTTCTAAGAGTATAAAAGAGTAAGAACAACAATTCAGCAAAAAGTGTTCCACAGCCACTTGCTATATTCACAGAAAACAAAGGGAAGAGAATGGAACAGCAGACTTTATGCAAATATAGAAGTGAATTTCCCATCAGAAATCTCAACTATAAAGAATCCCAGTAGATTTTTGTGCAGGTAGCAAACTCATATATGATATGCAGAGACCAAACTTAAGAACATTTATATATATTTTCACAACTTTTTATGTTTTTAATGTAAAGAGAACATGATGAAGAAGAGCGTTTTAATATTTTTTCATGTATTTATGTTTTTATTTTTAGAACTATAGCCCTATATCCAGAATTATGTTTTGTGGTAACTACTGTTTGATCAAAAACTGCTAGAATTTTTGAAGACATGGTTATGGGGATATTAAATTTTCTTTGGCTTTTACACAGTTAATTGTATTACTCGACTTGACCACATTTGAGCCCCAAATTCTGCTGCTAAGTGACATTGTTATGTGGGTTTTATCCCATTTTAGGACCTTTCTTGCCACAGTTGTTAAGTGAATCACTGCAGTGGTTAAGTTAGTAACACGGTTAAATGAATGACCACTGACTTTGTCAGAAGGTCACAAAAGGTGCTCACATGACCCAGGGACACTGCAACCGTCATAAATATGAGTTAGTTGCCAAGCCTCTGAATTTTGTTCCCATGACCATGGGGAGGCTGCAACAGTTGTGTGAAAAACAGTCATGTCACTTTTTAGCCCCATTATGTTGAACAGTCGCTAAACAAACTGTTATAAGTCGAGGCCTATCTGTACTGCTCTTGGTTATTTCTATTGCTATTTTTTTTCTATTTATTGCTCTTAACTGCCTTAAAGCATCATAAAAAACAGACTATAAACTTGATAAATAAAAATATGTGAAATAGAAGTTAATGAAGTCAGAAAATGCTGGTTAGATGGTTTTTCATCTCGAAACAAGACAAACTTAAAACTTCTCTTCTTCTTTCCAAAAATGAAAAGAGAAAGCAGTTATGGAATCAATAGTACGATACCGCTGCTTGAGATTTCTTTAACACCATTGTTTGTCTTATTATTGAACATATTTTATCAGAAAAGAGAACTTCCAGATGCCTTGGTAAAAAAAAAAAAGTTTATTTTCCATACAAAAGTGCCAAAATAATGACCAACATTGAATTCTAGTTCAACCAACAGCTCGTTCTAGTAATCAAAAGAAAAAGCATTTTTTTAAGTTCACATTTTAAAAATGACATTCTTTTTTTCACACGTTTCCACAATAACCCGAGTCCCTAGGAAGAGAGAAGTTTGCATTCCGATTAGCTGCTGAAGTCCATATATCTAAGTTCATGTAGGCACGGAATGGGTTAAATCTCGGGTAACATTCCTGCTTACATAGGACCGCCTGGCTCTCCACCTGGGCTGAATGCTGAGTGGCAGCGCTGATGGGGCAGCAGTTGTCATAGACATCATTCTGAGGGGCCCAGATGGAACCGAAGAGGCCAGACATGGGTGACAAACTCCTGGTGCTCGAGAGGTAGGACTGAAAGGCAAAGAGAAGGTATCACTGGAAGTGCAAAAAATGTCTGGTTACCAGGAACAAAGCAGTTAACTAGCACTTGAGATACTGAAGCAAGCAAGCTAAGCTGAAAATTAAATTAAAATGAAAATAAACATTTTATTTTTATGCACATTTTGCTGAAGGACCAGCCCCTCCCCTTTTTTTTCCTTTTACAAACATATCAATGCATGAACAGTGTGGCACCTGGATGTCATATGTTCAAATACGAATAAAACTAATAAAATTACTGTATTTTTCGGAGTATAAGACACACCAAGGTTTTGAAGAGGCAAATTAAAAAAATGTTTTTGCACTCTGCAAACCTCCCCCAAAAGACCAATTTTTCACAAAAATGGGCCTGTTTTTTCTCCCAAAAAGAGGCATGAATAGCCTTTAGGGGGCTTGCAGAGTGCTCCTGGGGGTGGAGGGGCCAAAAATGAGCAAAAAAAAAAAGATCCGTTTTTTGCTCATTTCTGCCCTCCCCAGCCCCCAGGAACTCTCTAAAAGCTTCCTAGAGGCTTCCTAGAGGTTTTTCCCCCCAAAGAAGGCATGGATAGCCTTTAGGCTGGGGGCTGGAGGGGTAAAAGTGAGCAACAAACAGATAGTTTTTCGCTCATTTCTGCCCTCCCCAGCCCCTAGGAGCTCTCTAAAAGCTTCCTAGAGGCTATGCACGGTTTTTTTGGTGAAGGGGGTGAGGTTTCGGGAGGCAAAAAAATGCTGTATTCAGTGTACAAGATGCACCCAGATTTTCAGTCTCTTTTTTGAGGGGAAAAGGTGCTTCTTATACTCTGAAAAATACAGTAATCATGATTACATTCAACCAACTTATATATTTCTAATAGTAACACATAATTATATTAAGTTGCAATTTGTCATTATTCAATTATTTCATGTTTTTCTTGTTATTGTTCTTATTTTATTATATAAAACGTATACATTAATATTCCCCTTTCCCCATTTTCTATCTCTTATTCTAACTTTCAGTTATGTCACTCTTTATTAAAAGATGTTTTCTTTCTATCCTACCTAACTTTTAGTCATGTCACCCATCTAAAAAAGGAAAGGAGAGAAGGAGAAAAAGAAAAGCAAATCAGAACAATACCAATAAAAATATATCATCTATCCATCGTCTCTTGCCCGCTTCAATACTTTAATTGCTATGCTTCTTTTTGACTTGCCTCCCATATTCCTCTTAGATCATTGTTAAGGACCAGCCTTAACAAAGTCTTTATGTCCTCACAGCCCCACATTATCCAAGCATGTTCTCCAGGTAAACGTGGATTGGAACACTGTGTTTCCCAAAACCTACTCCTGTGCCTTAATCACTGTGCCAGGATTAAAAATCTATTTTTATATCCAGAAAAAAATAATCCAGCATTTTTCCATTTTCCTTTACTCATTTCATCACCTGCATAATGAAAATGTGTATTTAAATACGTACTGAACAATAAAATCTATGCAACCCAGAACGTGTCTTATTAAATGTGCCAAAATTACAATCAAAACTGAAACTGAAGCCACCTAAATTTTGAAATGTGAATGTTAAATACCTCACACTTTAAAAAAAGAAACCTAAGAATATGTAAACAACAACCCCAAAAGATTATATTTGAACTACTATAACAGAATGCATGAAACAGTCCACCTATAATACTTACTGTTGGGTTGACATAACTGGTGGGTTCCCAGGTTGGAGGAAGGTTAGGTGGGGTGTTCCATGAAGACTGACAGCTGTGATCAATGAAGCCTGAATTTTGAATTTCTTCTGTGCACGGAAATCCATTATGGTAATTCATATTTTCTTTATTTTAGGAGACAGAAGGGTTTTAAGTATTAGTTGACTTTGTATCAAAGTGCAATTCTATATATTGCATGAATAAACGTATATAGTGCTCTTTATTTACATTAGCTATCTGAATAATCACTATATGAATCCTGTTTGTATGCCCAGCTGACAGAAGCACATAATCAACTCTGGCTAATCTCCATAAACCAAAAGGGGTCAGTCCAGATTAGTATTCACATGGGAGGCCTCTATGGCTATTTGGGAACATTTTAAATTCCCCAAATAAGGCAGCGGAAAACTACTTCCCATTGCTATTGATATACCTGTATAATCCATCGTAAATATATTGGAACTTAAAAGTAGATTTCATTTTTACATCCTGTTTTTTGTTCATTTGTATGGGAGAGGAGAAGACAGTCTATACCAGGGGTGTCAAACTCAAGGCCCAGGGGCCTGATTCAGCCCATGAGATGCTTAGATCTGGCCCGCAGGGGTGCCCTGAAACAGCAACTGGCCTGTGATGCCTCTGCCAGGAAAACGGCACTCGGGAGGGCCACATGTGGCTCTCGCGAGCTCCGTTTTCACTGGCAGAGGGTTGAAGGAGACCATTACAGCCAAACACAGATCTTGGGAGCCTGTTTTGTTGGCAGAGCGCTCAGGCCACCACAGGCGCTCCCCAATATGAATGATATCATGCTGGTCGTGCCCACCCTGGTCACACCTTCCCCAGCCCTCCAAGGTCAAATACAATCCTGATTTGGTGCTCAGAGAATTCGAGTTTGATACGCCTGGTCTACACTAAATAACAACATAGGTTGGATGACTGAAGAACAACATCCATTTCACAGATACTAAAGGTGAAGGAGACTGAAAGAGGCAAGCTGTCATACATAAAGAGGAAGTGGGCAACTAAATAGGGTGGATAAAAGCCAGGAATCCAGTCTAAAAGATCCCTTTGGGGAGATAGATAAGAAGGAACTAAGTTGTTAAGGAAACAAAGGAAAAAAATGACAGACAACAGAAGTTGGACCAACAAGGAAAGAGTAGTTGCTAGTCTTGTCAATCAACAAAGCAATGGATGCAAGGGGAATAAAAGGGCTCCTGACTCTGAGTTGTTTTTGGAGCTTCTGTCCATCTGTCTAGTGCCTGCCAGTCTAATTGAGAAAAACATGGAACAGTGTTAATGTGTATGAGAAAGCACAAATATATATCTATTGTAATCAATAAAGTTCTACTGTTGCTTTACAGTCACCAAGTCTCCATGTATTCTAAAGAATCAATTGTGCCTTGGTATTTGGTTGAAAGTGATTTTAGTATGGATATTTTCCAGGGTTGTGTGTGTGTGTGTGTGAGAGAGAGAGAGAGAGGGAGGGAGGGAGGGAGAGGGAGAGGGAGAGGGAGAGAGTATGGGGACAGTGCAATATGGATAGGAGTTTAAAAGCACATTAACAAGCTAGGATAACAACCAAAGCTGTTCAATGGAATTCTGAATGCCTATTTAAGTATACCTAAGGTAAATGTAAAAGTTCCTCTCACACAA